ACAAGCCTTCTTTTGAGCATTTGCCATATTATTATGCGGGATTCAATGTGAACAAATCTTTTTTACTGCTGAATGTTCATGTAATATCTTATTGATGCTTGTCATACTAATGTCCAAAGATGCCTCAATCTCACGGTATGTCACATGATGAACTTGCTTTATCAGTTCATGCACAGCATCAATATTTTCTGGTACAATAAACGATTTTGGATGATCTTCACAGAACTCATTCTGGAGCAGACATCGACCACAATTGAATTCCTTATACCAGTTTTTTACAGTTTCTGCAGGATGGTGCTTTATCGCTGTATAAAGAATTAAGTTCATCGAAGCATTCATGTCTTGATAATCCACGTCAAAAATTAGGAAAATTAATCGCACGAAAATGTTCATGAGCCAGCTCCATTTTTTTTGCCAGAAATGAATTTTTCTTTCAGTTTACTGTAAAAAAACACAAATCACATTAAAATGGCAAAACATTCTGAAGAAGTTACAGTTAAAAAATATCAAACTTTCGGTTAGAATTGTGTGCGGTTGTCTAGCAACACTTACTGTTGCCAAGGCCAGAAATATAAGTAGCAACCTTCGTAATAAAAATATAATACAAATAATAATAAAATGCAGTTATCTGCCTTAAAATATTCCATAATATATTATGAATAGTCACTACCTAACTATACTTCTACAAAATGCGATACAGTTTTTCGGGCTAAATTATAAACAATTTTTCAGGATAACAGGCTTATCTTAAACTTTAAATTTGAGACAAAAAAGGTCTAGTTGAAAAATCAAGACCATGGATACAGAAATGTATCTGTGTCAGTGGAAAAATCAGACATACACTCAACTGAAATTATTTAAAAAGATATTATTTATTTTACATATTTATATAATTTTTTTTAAAACATACACTTTTTAAGCCATAAAAAAGTTTATATGTTATATATAAGTATATATATATGTAGTGGGGGAGTTGAAGATGCTAAATAACAATTCCAACGTGTTTTCCACACCACAGAACATTTAATAAAGACAAACAGAAGAAGGTATAGATTAGATTAATCACAAATGCCGTTTGATCCAAACAGGATTCCCTATAGCTTTTGCCAGTCTTATCACTTAACCGATTAGTGCCTATTCAGACTTGCTGATGTGTTATACAGTCAATTTACCACCTTTGCGTGGAAAACTACAGTTCCTTATTCGACACCTTCATGTGTAGACATCTCACCACCTTCGCGTGGGATAGCAGAAGAAAGTCTGTCTGTCTATGTCATAGTCATTTTTCACCTTGCTCTCGCTCCTGGCGCATCGGTGAGGCCCTCTGGTGGTTGTGTCGCCCTTACAGATACTACATATATATGAATGTGTATCTATTAATAATAATATTATATTACATTAATACAATTAATAACTTATGTATATATTTTTCTTGCCTTTCATGAAGCAAATTTATTAATTACATTATAAATTTATTAAATTTTATAAAGTAATATTATTTTATAAATTTTAAATTTTATTTATAAATTATCAAATAAGTTGATCATTTAAAATTTTCCACATTTAAAAATGCTAGCTCACTTAACCCTCTGAGCAGCACAGGATTTTAGATCCATGATGAAAACTGGTATTTAAACAGCATGTATTAATTGAGTTTGTATAATTACTTATTTTAGTCTGTAATTTCATAAACTTATATTAATTAAGATGATATTTACATTATTAAAGAAAGTAAGAAAGCAAAATATTTTAAGTTATAAGCTAATACATATATGCAAAGTTGCAAAACTTCTTATGACCGGCTTTATCCGGTCATAAGACTCAGATGGTTAAGCGATTTTGTCCCATCGTTTATTGTAGATATGCCAAAATTAATTTTAATTTCTAGAAGTTCAGTTTCTAATGATACCAGATCATACAGTGCCTCTCTAAAATTTATTTTAGAATCTTGTAATCTGAGCTGTACATGATCAGTTTTCCTCAATAATTCATGGCAGAAATGGAGTTATGAAATTAAAATTCACTGTATTTTGCAATAAAATTGTGGCTTCACTTCTGGTTTGTGGTAGAACTGTCCTCTGTTAATTTTTTATAATAGCTCTATTAATTCTTTCAGCTATTGACTATAACACTAACCACTTTTGCTCTGGCACTCCATCTTGTTTCAAATTCATGTTAGCAGTCTTCTTTAAAACATTTCTTAATTCCCATCGTATTGTTGAACGTGAGGAAAGGAGATATATGTTTCCAATAATTCCAAAGCATGTTACAACAACTAGATTTTGCTTAACTCTCCTACTAAATTTAGTGAGTGGTTATCACAGCTTACAAATAATGCTTCATTCTCCCCCTCCCATAATTCTTTGTTGAACGCCAGATATGTGAACTGTCACGCCAGTGTTAACATTGTGATCTACAGTTTTTCAATGAAATCTGATCAAAGTTTAATTTTTCTAAAATTGTATTTTCAATTGAGGCTGCATCTTTAGCATTTATTTCGATAAATCCCAAAAAAGATTCTTTGATATAAACATTTCTGCTGGGAAATTGAATACCTACATATTTAGATTTCAACATTTGTTCTCGATAAACCATATCAGGAGTCGAATCAAATAAAAGTCCATAATATTTATTTTTTTTTATATCACTTATTAGTTTATCACTGTACGTTGGCTGCCGAATTAATAATAGTCCCTACAAGTCCAGATTTCGTACTTTGTACTGTATTAATTTAAAATTTATTTCCCAGAAATCAATCAAAATAAAAATTAAAATTTTCCTGAAAATCTTGTTTGCGTTGGGGACCATTCGGCACACCTCTGTGAGCGGCGCCTGAGGTATAATAGACCTCCTTGCCCCCCTCTCGCTATGCCACTGACTGAAGGCTATTAAGAGAATTTTGAAGTGGCCTGAAGAAGTGAAAATGCGAGAGGGCAAGGTCTAGTCAGTCAGTATAAAGGGTCAAACAAAATATCCCAGCCATACTGAATAAGTTTTCATCGAAATGCAGCGTTGAGCACTGTCATGATGGGAAAAGAACCACCGTATTCATATGCCAGTTAACCATCTGACATGCAGGTCTTTTTCTATGCTTTTTCTTCCATCAGGAAACTGTAATTACCCCTCAAATGTGTAAGATTATTTCGGTAGGCACTATCACCATGCACCTTTTTGAACATTTTGTGTATTTTAGTTGCCCATCTTCTGAACATTAAGTATAACTTTAAAAGTACTCTTGTTCCAGTGATCAATTCTTGACATTTCTCAAAAGTGTACTTATACTCTGCCTACCAGAGCATGAACTAGGAGTGAAAATGCCCACAACTTTGTTTTGCACTTTTTGTTAGTCAGATAACTACAGATTTGCATGCAGGCAGCATCATATGTTGCCATTTTTCTGTTTTTTTTTAAGCACACCCAGTCCTGGAATTTATTAGACAGATCTTATAGTTGTAATAACAATATTATTATAATTATTATTATGGTAGTGGTTAGGAATAATACATAAATATTTAATCTGTAAGCTGAATGAATTTGGTAGAAAGTTAACTTATCAGTTTTAGTATTTTAAAATTGATTTTGTCATGCTTTACATGTTCTGGGCAATTTAATTTTTTCTTAAAACTTAACATATTGTACTATATTGTGATTTCTGCTAAATTTGATGGCAATTACACTGTTTCAGAAAGGAAGTACAAAACAAAATTATTCTTTATTTAAAATGTTAAAAGTTACTGGTATATATTTTACCTCATGTTCTAATTACCAAGACAATTGTGCCTTTGAAATATTGTCCCTGGTGCTTCTCTGGTGGCTCACTTATGCCTGATGTCATTCTAAATAATTAAGATATTAAGATGTTAATTTTTTTCTATCTAGAAAAACATTGGGCTAAAATGTTTGAATATCATCTCTGTTGTTAGGATCCCTTATCTATTCTACTTAACGTCAGAACATATAAGACAAATACATGGAAATTGTGCTGTAAATATGCAATGCAGTGTTCAGTATATGTTAATATCACTTTATCTTATGTGGGTAATGTCTTATTACTGTACATGATTCATAAATTTAGCTTCAATTTATTTAAGTATGCTATATCAATAAAACGTTGAACATCAGATCTGGTTCAGAAGTCAAACAACAAAAATCAGTGTTATTTTTACAAAATTTTCACAGGACTAGTTTCGATGGTTTTACCGAACCACCATCCTCAGCTGCAAAACTGCAAATGAATAAGATAAGAAATAATGATTAGATAAGATAAGAAAGACTGGACAAGAATAAGCAAGTTATCCATGGCTTCTTATAATTGTAGTGATGTGCAACTTGCAAATAAGATGCATGATTTTGCTTTTCAGTTATTCATTTAAAATCCTGTAATCATAGTTGTTACATTTTTCCTTAGATATAATTATGTGCATAGAAGGGTCATTCACTAAAGATTTCAAAAAGTTAAGCTTTGACATTTCATGCTTTGTTCCTGGGTTAAACTTCTAATTTTTTCCTATGATCTTGTGATTGCACAGAGCAAAGTAATCTACAGGATCTTAAATTCATTTCTGTTTGAAAAATTTCCTTTTCTGGGAAAGTATGTGACACACGTACAAAAAATAGATAAATGAATAAATGAAATAAAATGGCTTTGAATTGAATTCTGCTAAAATGATAAATTCCTAGTGTAAATAAATTTTCTGTGTATTTTAAAGGCATATACATTTAATTGAAGTAATTAAAAAAAGTTTTAAAGTTGCATGCATATGCAAGTGATTTCTATATCATTATTTGTTTCAATTATTTTTAATGTAAAATGCTCCAATACCCCCGCACTCACCTGGATATTTGTTAGTGAGTTAATAAGTTTTCTTCAGATATGTGTAGATATTCTTTGTTTGGAAGAGTTGCCTTTTATTTGATGCATAAAATATATTGTTTATTAATTTTGTAAAAAAAAAATTTACTATTTCTTTCTTTCTTTCTTTTCTTTTTTTTTTTTTAAGTATGGAAAGGATTTTGAGAGTATACAAAGCTACATTGCACAACGAAGCAAGAAGAAGGGTATTGCAGCAAATATGATTAAAAACAAAGATCAAGTTCGCCATTTCTATTACAGAACATGGCACAAAATATCCAAATTTTTAGAAATAAGTGAATGTAAGTATAAGTTTTTGCATATAATTTGTTTCTTCTTTATAAGCTCCACTAGGCAAGGTTGTCTCCCAAGTTTCCTCCACCTGACCCCATCAGAATATTTGCTCAGTAGTTCCTCTGTATCATTGCAACCTCCTTGTGTTTCTAATATTACCCCCATTTTATGTGGTATATATTACAATATATTCTCTGTAAATTTTTCCTTTGATTCATATACAGTATCCATGAGAAAAATGAGATGATGACTATGTTTGCTTTAATTGTATTCACAGCCTTCCTTCAACAGCCTGGTAATCCATTTTCCCAAGTCTGATTTATGAATTTTAATAAAGGCATTTTTGCCGAGTCATTAAGGTTTAAATAAAATTAACAAAGACTACCTTCAGGGCCAGAATTCATTCCTTTCTGCATCAGATCCAATCTTTTACTCCGTAATAGTGGAGTGTAATTTAGGACTTAAATTTAAAAAGTGGTTGGTTTTGTGAAGGTTTTTATATTATTTTTATTTTATTGTAAGGTTTACTGATTTTTTGTCTAATGCTTAACACGAATTGAATAATTGAAAAGTTAGGTTTTGAGGCACCTTCCCCTTGATAAGTCTGTCTCCTGCCTGCTCAACAATTATTTACTTATGCATTTTTATAAATTTTTAGGATTAAAAAATTATTGGATTATATTTATATATTAATTATATATTATTATATTCATAGAGTTTGATACTTGCACTTGATTTCCATATGCTCTCAGAATAATTTGTTTTTTTTTACGAATAGAGAATGTTTTTTAATTCATAATATTAAATTATAATATGATAAAAAAATTATTGGCAAATAGTTCAATCAAGATTGCTTGGAAAGCTTTTTCAAAAGTTTTTGCAAGTGTCATTCATTCCATCGTATTTTCAAATAAATTTATTAATGACTAAAAAAAATTTTTTTGGGGGGGGATGATTTTCCAAAATGGTGAATGTAACTGAGTAATCAATTAATTAGAAACACACTGATAAGGTCAGTAATTTAGTGGTGAACAGTCATTGTTTAACAGTTAGGAATACTAATGAAAACGTTCCTGTGTCATTTGGATCCTGTGAAGTAATTTTGAAGTCTTTTTTTTGAGTTGCTCCTAAAATGTTGAAATCTTTTTACTAGTGATAAAGTTTGGATGCACACTTTTCATAATGAATCAGCTCAAAAGCTAAGTGAAGTTTATTGATGCAGTTAAAATAAATTAGCTGTGAATCTTGAAGCGATTTCATGAAAATGAATTTAGAACATGTTTAGAGATTTGGCAAAAATCATTGACATAAGTGCACTGCAGTCAGAAAGGAGTGTACTTTTTAAGAGATGTAACATAGTGTATTGAACAATAAATAGAAATCATGTATTTTCTGAAATGATTTGCAGGCTACATTAGCATGTCTCATAAGTTTTCCATGAGATATTAAATCATTATTCAGTGTGAGTATTTTAATTTTTGCTGTTAAGTTTTAATACAGTACAATTCCATTCTATTTGATTTAATTTATCTAGATATATTTTAAATGTGACTTCAGCGTGAATTTAGATTAGCTGACTTTATTCTGATATATTTATAATAATATTTTTCAATATTTTTTTTTTTTAAGAAGGCTATCACCATGAATCTAATACAGCAATTTGAAACCTTTTGTACTGGAAAAAGTAATGCTTTTCTTTCTTTCTTTCTTTTTTTTTTTTTTTTTTTTTTTTTTTTTTTTTTTTTTAGTTGTAAGAAAGCAAACTCAAGAGCTTTATGGACTGATCAATTATGCTGAGCTGCGGAAGAAAATAGGAGGATGTGAGTTGAAAATATTATATCTAGATATATTCCAATTACATATGCACACATACATATACTTAATACTAGTTTAAATACTAGTGTAGGATTTTCTTTTTAAATATTGGTACTGGTAACCAGTCACAAAAGGAATGCATTTCAACATGGGAAGTTTTGTTGTTTCCCAGTGAATTCAAAATGACTTTAGCCATATAAATGCTGATACTTTTCAAGCACTGTAAATTGCATATTTGATATGTAACTTTGACTTCAAGGTTAAACAGTAAAACTTTGACTTCAAGGTTAGCTTAAGAGTAGCATTTTAAGATGTCATATAATGAAAATATAAAATCTGAGAAATGTTTTATAATGACCATATAATTAAAGTTGTGTATAAGAGTTGGCATTCCCCATTACATTCCCAATTAGATAACAGTAATATTTATTTAGAATGTCAACTGACATGTCTCATCATTCAAGTATTAGTTTATGTTTACTACACTGATGTGCAAAAATTAAGGATGAGGCAGAGAAATTAGCATAAAAGTGGAACATGTCAACAGAATGGATCTAACAACCATTCAGAAGATACACTTGGAACCAGTCTAGTAGGGCAGTTTGAGACTTATAGGGAGGATAGTCAGAAGATATATATTAAACATGGAAGTGTACGATGATTTCAATGACATTAAGTTTCTTCTACTCTGTAATGTGACAAACAAGCAATCCAGGAGACATCATTTGGATGACTTTCCTTGAGGTCATGTCATTGGGATGTTCAAAGACAGTCAAAGTGTGGTGGAAGAGTATGAGACCACTTACAGCATCATTTCATGAGCCTGGAAAGCATTTCAAATAGCAGGAACAGCTGTTAGTGTTTTCAGCAGTGGTTTTACATGAGGAAGAACAGTGGTGGAAGACTTGTAAGTTATCCTACTGGTGAGAAGAGACAAGCAGCAAACAGTGGAAGATATTGCAAGGCACAGGTAACAGACTACTGAATTTCCAATATTACATTTTACCATGTTCAGCAGACTACACAAATCTGGGCTATATGCAAGACAGTCAGTGTGGTGTGTGTCGCTAACATTTGTTCATCAGAGATGCCAGTTACTGTGGTTCTAGGAACAAGAGAAATGGGTTGAGTGCTGTTTTACAGATGAGATCCACTTTAGTCTGACAAGCAATTCTAGACATATATCCATCTGGAGGAAGAAGGAAACACACAATCACTTCTCTGACATGATCAAAAGAAACCATTTTGAAGGTGCCGGAGTTCTTGTTTGGGGTGTTATCATTCTTGGTAGCCATACTGACCTTCACATCTCCGAAAGAGGTTTAGTCATTGGTGTCAGCTGTTATATCAAGGTTCTCTTGCCTCATATGTGTCTGTTTATAGGTACTTTGGTCCAGACATCCTCTTCATGGATGACAACAATTCATCGTATAGTAGCTGTTGCAGAGTGAAGATTTTCAACAAATGGATTGACCTAAATCCCATAGAACTGTTGTGGGACCTTCTTGTGGGATATTTGGCAGCGTGTAAGCAGCTACCAACAACACTTCTGCAGCTCAAATTTTCAGTACTAGAGAAATGAGATGCAATGCCTCAACATCTGCTAGACAACCTTGTCCTCAGCATGGATAGATGGTGTAATTCCTGGATCGCTGTCAGGGGTGATGGTGTTCCCTTCTAAAGACTGGATTATTATTTCAAGGTGCCTGTTAAATGGATGTTTGTCTTCTCTCCAAATGTGCTCAGAGCTACTTTTTCAATAAACTGCCTTTTTATCTTTTTGATTCCTTGTATGCATGGATTAACTCACTTCTTCCGTATTTTCACATTTTACAGGTCTTGTAGTGTGAATTAGGTCAATTCGAAATACTTCTGCATGATGTTACATTAAAAAAACCATCTTGTCCTTAAATTTTAAATACTAGTGTAGGATTTTCTTTTTAAATATTGGTACTGGTAACCAGTCACAAAAGGAATGCATTTCAACATGGGAAGTTTTGTTGTTTCCCAGTGAATTCAAAATGACTTTAGCCATATAAATGCTGATACTTTTCAAGCACTGTAAATTGCATATTTGATATGTAAAATTAATATTTTCACATGCATACTATTATGGATAGTTATTTCAGAACATTAAACTTTCAAGCTGTTTTGATGTTTATAATAATTTTTAAAAACATTTTAATAGATTTGTTGTTATAAATTTTCATTAATAATTTTCTCACAGAAAAAAGAAGAAAAAGGGTGGGAATAATAGGACATTTTTGTTGTTTTGAAGCACTGAATGCTGCTATGAAGAATTTATGCAATGTTTAACTTATATTTACATGTGCATACCTTATATTTAAGATTGATTATGTGTATTATCTTTAAAATATGTTACTAGTGTAAAATGATACTCTTCTTAACTTTCCTTTAGTTAAAGGATTAAGTTTATTTGTGCTGTTGATACATAAGCAAATTTTTAAAGTAGGTATTTGTTTTTATTATCAAATTTAAGGAAATTTTTTCTTAATTTTAAGAAGTTTTAACATTTTTAATAGGTTTGAATGAGAAGAATCGTCAGAAGCTGAATGAATTGGTATTCAGTGGGTAAGTTCATCAATTTTTTTTATCTGAGTATGTTTTGTCCCATTTTCTTTTTGTAAAAATCTACAAAATCTACTGTTAGATTTACTGTAGATTACTACAAAATCTACAATAGATTTTCATATCTGTTGTGTAAAAAGTCAATCAACATAAAATCAGATAAGTTATTCTATGCCAAGCCATGCCTAGATTTTTTTTTCACTTGAGGCAAAGCTGTAAGTGCATGCAATTATATACAATCAAATTAGCTGTATTTGTATATGCCTGTATTAAATAAAGGTAATTAAAGAAATTTTACTCATAACATTATGTATTATTGGTCATTGAGGATTAGGTGGAATTTCAGGAAGGTCATCCACATACAAGTTAGATTCTTTAATGAAGAGATCAAAATAATTTGCAGTTTTGACAATTTTAGGTGTAATATCATGTTTAGGGACTTTAGCAGTTGTTGAGGACACTAAAAATATGTCTGTCTGGTTCTTACTATCTTGTGGGGAATATCTGCTGAGTCTGAAGTTTTTGTTAAATATTAAATTTAGGGTTTGGGATGGAATAGTGGAAAATTCAGAGGTAGAGATAGTAAAGCCTGAATAAATAAAACTGTATACTCATTCTGGAGGTCTTCCGGCTGCTGCTTGATGGTCTTCATGCAGTTTGAAATTCCTTCAATGGCAGGATTGCTGATTCGGGGAGTAACATGTCTTCCAAGTCTGTTTAGGCTGAATTTCTTCTTTTCTTCAGCTTCTTTCACAAGTGCTGAGTTCTGCCTCAAAAGAGCCCATCAGCGACTGAGCGGTAAATACGCTGAAAGCTGGTAATTCGGTACGAGGTTTGAATCCCACGACCGGGCTGGCTGCATGAGCGTTTTTGTGGTTTTTCTGATATGTAATGTGTATACGAGCCAGTTTCACGTAGAAAGTCCTCCACCAAGGCATCCCTTCCTTTAGGCAGATAGCCCTCGTGTGCTTTGCCATAATTGAATAATCCCTAATCCTTTTGCCTCAAAAGAGTGCTTCTCAGTATGTTCAGGCTTAAAAAGTATTCTCATATCAAGGCCACTCCTATATTATTATCATTATTGCTTGAATGGTCAGTGGGACTATTGTCCATATCCTCGTTTAAGAAGTGGAAAATCATCTCCGCTATTTGCAAACATTATATAGCACAACATTTATTGCTTTTGAATTTGCAATTTTGTTGTCCATTGAAAGCAAAAGTGCTTTTTTAAATATAGTGCTTTTTTAAAGTTATATTTGAAATTCTCAAGTTCAGTATAATATTTATTTTGTGTCTGAAATTTGAGTGCTTTGAAACAAGCACAACTGATAAGCTATTAACAGCTTTTGATCTGGCAAGTATTATTGATTGTAAGGTGAAAACTCGGCAAAACTCTGCTTAGTGTTTGTCTACCTTTTGCTCACATTGCAAAGTAACAGTGTTTCATCAGGTTCAGATTTCTGAGTTTTAGTAACCAACAAATTAAATTTTAAAGGCTTGTCCATCACTTTTCAAATAAAAGGATGCTGGCATCAGATTTTATTGTGTTTTGGTAATTTTAAAGAAATAACTATAGAGAATATAAAAAATGTATGGCGTCACAAATAAAATGTTGCCACCAAACATTTAAAACCATGTGTTTTTTTAAAGACTAATAAAACGAATGTAAAAAATGTATGACAACGCGTATTACTTTATTTCAGATTCTAAAGATATGCTGTTTTCAAATATTTTTTAATTTTGCTGTTGAATTTAAGATGGCATATATGTGAAGAAAGTGACGTTTAACACAATACTATAATTTGATGTGAAACTAGAATGACAAAAAAAAATTAGTAATAATGTTATTTTAAAGTTATTTAAAAAATCTTACTGAGAAAACCAAACATCAATAGGATGAGTTGAAAAAAGACAAAAAAATAATGGCATAAAAATCTGGTGATTTTGGTGGTGAATTGTATGTAGCATACATATGAAGAAAGTGATGTTTAATAGTAAAGTTTAAAAGACAAAAAAGTTGTGTTTACAGGAGAGTCCAAAAACTGACTGGTAAAATGCGAGCACAACAAGAGCATGAAAAGTTTTAATAAACTCTCTAGTGCAACATTAAAGCATGAATCCTTTCAGTTTTTTTTTTTTTTTCCTTTTTTCCCCCTATTTATTTTAAATTTTCTGATGCTTCTTTCACCCGTTAAAACAGTTTCTGAATTCAGGTATGATTAAACTAAACTGCATTTGTAAATCATCATTAAAAGATTTGATTCTGCTTTAGCTACCAGAATTGTTGAAATGGCATGTTTTTTAAAACTGGATATTTCTGATGGAATATCTGAAGCATTTATAGCATTTAGACATATAATGCTAAGATGCTCATGTACATAATACTTAATCCAATTATTTTACATTTTCACCAGTTAGAAACTGGAATTTGGAAATTTTCTCATTTAATTTTGGTATATCTATTTTAGTTGTGAAATGTAAAATCTCATTCATGTTTACTGGTAAAAAAAAAAAAAAAAAGACAAAATTAATTCTTTTATTAGCTGATTCTTCACAGTTCTTTTTTATTCCTGTTCTGTTCATATGTTTAAAACTAAATTTTTACATTTCAAGTTTTTCTCATCTTTCGTAAAGAAAGAAAGAGATATGTCTTTGGTTATGTTAGTTTTATTGTGTGGCCATAACATTTGAAGACTATCTGTCTAAGGAGAAGGTTCATTTATGAAGGATTTTCTTGTGCAAGCTGGCTCGTATTTACATTACACATGTGGAAAACCATTCATGCAGCCAACCCATTTGTTGGGATTCGATATAGGCTCTCTGTTTAGTGTGGAATATTTTTTAGCTTTAAAATTTTTGATCTCAAGGTTTTCTATACCTTTTCTTTTTCTTGTAATATTAAGTTCCATGAAGATACCCATGAAGGTTTCCTCTGCTTAGTGTGGAATATTTTTTAGCTTTAAAATTTTTTATCTCAAGGTTTTCTATATCTTTTCTATTTCTTGTAATATTAAGTTCCATGAATATACATGTAAAATTTTAAAATGATTTGCCTAAAAAGCTGTTAATTTCAATCCATTATTTGATGTCTTTTAAAAATATGAACTTAGTTTAAAATAACAGTAATCTAAAAATTGTATGAAATACATGATTAATCTACTGGACCACTTTAAATATTTAATTATTAACAGTTAAGTTTTTTTTTTTTTTTTTTTTTTTTTTTTTTTTTTCTAATGCACAAGTGCTGAGTTCTGCCTCAAAAGAGTGCTTCTCAGTATGTTTCAAAACTAACAGTTTACAATCAAAATTTATTTTAATTTCTAAAATTAACTGTTCTAAAATTAAGACACAATAACACGCCAAATAAATACTAATTCAGGAGTCAAACAACAATTTTGTGAATATAACGCTGATTTTTGTTGTTTGACTCCTGAATTGTTCTAAAATGTTTCAGCTGATTTGGCACCTCTCTTAGCACTCGCTTCACACTTATCCTGACTGATTCTATGCTTTATAATTCTTTTCCCTTGTAAAAAGTGAAATTATAAAATGCATTAATAGAGTATAATGATGTGTTTCTAATGACTGCATGTTTTTTAATATGTATTGGAAATTTATTGCATTATGTATAAATTAATTGAATTAAAAATTGATATCACTAAATGCTTAAAATAGTTTTTATAATTATTATGAAATAAATCAGTATAATTGTAATTTTTTAATATTTAAATATCATCAATATCAAAATTAATAATTCTGCATCTTGTATGCATTATCTTGTACATATACTGTGATGCCTAGTTGTGTCGTAAAAGTAAAACTTCATAGTACTGATAAAATTTTTAACATATATATTGGAATGCAATCTTTTTCAAACAGTTAATGTTCTTTAATGTGTTTAATACTTTGTACTATTTATTTATACCATTTTATGTTTAAAAAAAAACATAGAAACAAATGTTGGAGGTTTCTGAATCAGAATTGTTTTTGAGTTTTAATTTCATTTCATAATAAAGATTTCGTTGTTTTATCTGTTGGTTGAGATAGGTAATATTTTTATTTGTTGAATGTTAAAATTCCTTGGTGGTTTAGATTGTAATTCGGGGTTTTAGATTGAAGTGTTAAAAATTTATTGCTGTTTAAAATTGGATGGTTGATTTAGTTTAAAATTGGATGGTTGATTTAGTTTATTAAGACAAGACATCTGTGAAGTATCTACCTAAAGGAGGGAGGCCTTCATAAAGAATTTCCAAAGGAATATTGGCTCATTTCTCCTTAAATAACAGAACTTCATGCAGCCATTCTGCTTTTTGAGAATTGAATGTGAGTTTAAGTACAGAGGTAATCTGCATTTTAATCAACTTCATCATTGCTGGGCACTTTTTTTGAGAATTTTAATTACTTTTAAATGCAAATATATTGTTTATGCTCTAGCAAGTAGAAACTAGATGTTTAGTTATAGAGAGTGTGTTAATTATTATCCTGTATGGTTTAATAATTGTGACACATTTTGTTCTTAATTCAGCTAATGCTTGGGTTTCCCCCTTGTTCATGTTCAAAGAGAAGAAAAGTGTAGCACATAAATCATAAACAGTATGGCATTTAGAATAAAAGTCTGAACTGATAAGTTCTTGACATGCCTATCAAGGTTTAACTTCCTGATTACAATATATCATCAAAAGAAAGCATCTTATACAATCCACCATTGTATTTTAATTTATGAACTAACTCAGGAAATTGAATCATGCAAAAGGTCTTTGAGCTATGAACTCGTTATTTTTTTGGCATAATTTATTCTTGTTCTTATTTTCATTTTATGTTATTTTTATACTGCTTAATATTATTTTTTCTTAAAGTCTATATCAATAATGGCTATAATATAAAATTGTAAAATTGCAAATATGAAATGTGCATTTTTCCTTTTGATTTGGAAATTATATTCTTCAGGTTCAACTCTTACCATCATAAAAATTTGTGTATAGTTTTGCAAGTTCTGAAACAGTATTTTTCAACTGTCTTTGAAAATTTCATTTGTATTTTAATTGATCTACCATTTCGTGATTACGAGCATGACCAGTGCTTTCTTTACTTTTTCTTCAGCCTGCAGTTATCAGTTGTTTTCCATTTAACAATTGTGAATGGACAAACAGCATTGCTAAAAATCACTTCATAAACCTTTTTTTATAACTCTCTGCAAGCATAAGGTATCCATCCTGAATGGAAGATTTTGAATGCGGAAACCTTAAAAAATGGGATACAGAAGTTGCACTTCCTGTCAGCAGGTATCCAAGAAGGGTGCCTCATTTATTTGCGGTGCCTTTGGAGGATTGTTTTTGCTAACCTTAAGATAAGAAAATTCTGCTCCTTTGAAATCCAGTGCAGTGAAATATCTCTGAAAACAATATCTCACAAGTACAAGGACTGGGGGGATGGGCAAATTTTGGTCGAACCTGTTTTATTGAAGCACTGCCTATTTAAATGACAAAGTGATGGCCCACAGAATGTTGAATGGGTGGACTCTAAAAATTTTTTTAGGTACAAGCAGGATATTTTGTCTCGAAAAAATTAGTCTTTTGCCAACCTAAGGCTTACAAGTGGCAGAGATGTGTTAAATAAACTGTGCTTTTTCTGTTCATTAATCTGTTTTTGTTTCTGGAAATTTAATGCATGCACTGTACTGATTTTCATTGCATCTTTTGTAATGTTACTGCTTTCTCCTAATTACTTCTTTAAACTGATTGCCTGCTGTGTTAATGAAGACATACTATATTTAGCTTTCCCGATCAGCCAGAATTACTTCTTATGTGTAGCTTAAAAATCAACATCTGCTATAGTAATCCTTTTTTCAATTAGAGCTTTTTTTTTTTTTTTTTTCCCTAAAATTTTTTATTTGAATTGTTTTATGCCATCATTTTCAGCCAAAGTACATAATCATACTTTGAAAAGATATGTTCTAGGATTTACCTCTTTGCAGAAGTTTTTAAATACATGAAAAATACATTGTTTTACTACATACTGAAAATACATTGTTTTTTTTAATAATAAATACAAATGAAGTAGTACAAAAACAAAATTTGCATTGAATAATATAAGCTTCATTTTATTCTGACTTTTTGTCAACTTTCAGGCAGCTGGAAAATTCCTCTTTTTAAAAAAAGTCATGATACCTCTTTTTTTAAAAAGTCATCATTTAATAGTAAATACAAATGAAGCAGTACAAAAACAAAATTTGTGTTGAATAATATAAGCTTCATTCTATTCGGACTCTTTGTCAACTTTCAATTCCTCTTTTGTAAAAAGTCATGAAGCTTATTTGTAAACAAGATATTGATGTGCTGTTTAACATTCTTCAAATAAGTGAACTATGCAGGCAATTCAGAGAATTTGAAGTGGCCTGAAGAGATGAAAATCGAGAGGGCAAGGTCTTATAAATATGAGGGGGGTCAACACAAAATATCTCTGCCATACTCAATTAGGTTCTTTTAGTATGTTCATTGAAAAGGGGGGGCAAATATTCTTATGATGGAAAAAAAACACCTCGAAGGCTGCTCAGTTCTGGGCCTTCGGCATTGATTTCTGCTTTTAAAACTGTCATTTGTTAAGAGTATTTTTCTAAATTTATTGTCTGATTTAGTGGCAACAATTCATAGTATGAAATTCCTTTGTGCTTTCACCATGCACCATTAAAAATTAATGTCCAATAATGAGCTGTTTCAAAAAAAGAAGCTTAGTCTCCCCCTACAGCAAGGAGTCGCATGTGAAACCTTGAGCAAGTGGTATTCTGCTGTATTAAAGAAATATAGTATTGGAAAAAGGTCAGTTTGAATGCCTACGTCATAGCAGCTTATGTGCTCAGTCTTCTTCATATGGATTGCATACTTCACTTTTTGGAATATTTATTCTCTCTGATAATTCCTGAATTGTATAACTTGGATTTTCAGCAATAGCTTCTTTTAGCAGGTCCTTGTTTGCGAAAGACGTTCACCCTGAGTGGGCATCATCTTTGATGCTGAAATTTGTATGCTTAAACAGACCTCTCAAATGACCTTTGAATCGTGTCATCAGAAAAGACCTTTTTTTCCATATATACCACAAAATTTACAATCAAATCAACTACTATTGTTTATTGTTTTTAAAATAAAATGTAATATGATGTAAAGAAAGTTTTGAGTTATCTGTTGTTTGCATTGCACTAAAACAAAAATTATGTTAAATTATGCTAGAATTATGCGGCAGAAGCAGAAAAAACTATATTTAAACATCCATTTTGGATAAGGTCACTCCATATTAGCAATAACAAAATAATTAGAATAAGATGCACTTCAATCTGAAATATATCAGAACTTTTCAGATCACCAAATACATCAGGGCTATGTGCTTAAATTTTTTAGATGTTTGATTAAGAGCTGACCAAGAGCTGGAATTTAAGTGTCTTTTGTTTCTCCTTCTTTGCCACCAACAGCTCTAGAGGAATTTTATTTTAATAGATTGTTAAGTGCCCCTATTCTGCAAATACTTGTCTGCTGTTTAAATCCAGGGCTAGTAGTATTTGCAGTTGGAATCCATGGGACATTGCTGTGTCTAGGGCAGCAGTTGTGTTTTTATTTTATTTGAAATTTTTGTAATTTGTTTTGCACTTTTATGAATGTTATGCTGTTGTGGCATTATTATTTTCCCACGGTCAGTGTAGTATTAACAATACTGGTATAGTGTGTAGCAATACTGTGTCACTGAACTGTGGCTCGAATCGTAGAAAAGACCTGAACATTTGTAAATATGTGAGGTATGGGGGTATTTAAAATGCTGATGGGCCAAAAGCATTCTAAAGAGATTTGAAGGTAGGGGAAGAAAGCTGAGAGACCATTGTTTTCATTTCCCACAGGGCTGTTCATCAAAATTGGGCAAAAGTTGTATAGTTAGTTGCGTGGGACTGTACTTGTATAATTAGTGGTGAAATACTGGTGTCTTGCCCACTGTTTCCTGTCCTGTGGCAGTATTATCATTGAAATAATGTTGAAATGTATGATGTGATTTTCTAAAATATTGTGATTTAATATGTTTTTTGAATCACTTATTTATGGCTTTTGTAAATTTGTTTTGCATTTTTTAGCTGTTTAATGAAGTCATTTTAGAATTTGCATTTATGTACTCTAATGTGTATTTTGCAGTGTAACTACAGTGAAGCACAAGGGAAAGAAACTCCGAATTAAAACGCCTGTTTGTAGAGCACTGAAAAAGTTAAATAATGTATCAGGTGGGTTATGTAATGATTCTGTGTAACTTTACATTTCAATGTCAGTTGATAATGATGGAAATGAAAAGTAAGAATCAGACGTCTAAATTGATATAATTCCAATTAGTTTGCCATCAGTATCTTCATGAAGTTTTGTAAGGAAAGTATTTAAAATAAGATATATAACATTTTATTGCCATAGTTGGTGACTAGATGCCTGCTGAGGAGACAGCTAATGGAAATTACTCATATGAATAAAAGCATGTAGAGATAAAGTCAATATTGATAAAAACAGATATAAATAATGCATACTTGGGTTATGTTTGCACAAAAATTGTGAGAAGATAATTCTATTTTCAGTTTATGCAAAGCCAGTTTTCTTCGAAAGTTTCCTTTTTGTATGCACATTCATTGTAGGAAAATATTAGTTATATTTTATTAACTTTCATCATTATATTTTAGTAAATCCGACAAGATGAGAGTGTGATTTTGTGCTTTGCTGCATTTTTATGAGCTGTCTAAAATTATAGATAATCTAAACTTCTAGCAAATCTAAAATACTACCAAATATATATCATGTATAGTATAAACTTTGCTATTTAATACTTCATGAAAATTTGTGATAATTCAAATAAGAAATAAAAATTAGTTTTGGTGTTCATGAAAGAGTATCTTACTCTGTGAATGTAATTATTTGTGCAGTTATATTTTTTAAAAAATTCTAACTATTGTGCTTTGCAAAACTTAGCATTATTGTTACCTGAAAACTCGCATGTAATTATTTTTATAACTATTTAGACCTTTTTCAATAAGCCCAATTTTATGTGTTGGAATTCTCCCATGGCTGTTTTCAAGGAACAATAATACAGGCTTTGAGTAGGAGGACATTAATCTAATTAATCAAAAATTATATAAAAAAATATGGAAGCAGCGATCAACAAATACTACTTTATATATATATATATATATATATTGTGTCTCTTGTTTGTGATAAATATTGAACATCAGAAATAGACCATTTTTACCAATTTTTTCCATATATACAGTGCCCATGAAAGTCCTCTGCCCTTTATTTTTGCAATCATTGGTTTACAAAAGTTTTTAAATGATGAAAATATCAATGTTTTGTCATTTTTAAATTTGAAAAATCAGTTTTATATGAAATAGAAAATATAACTTTTATACGGTCCTTTGGTCCCTATATTTACAATTAGGGAATTGTTATCCTCATTATAAAAAAATATGATACAGAATGTTTGATTCCCTTATGACAAGAATTGAACAAAATATTTAATTTCAAAATTTGTGATCATTGATTTCTGTGTGCCTTGTGTTAATAAATATATTAGAATAATTCAATATTAATTTATTTTCCATAAATACCATTCAGTGATATTGTTTTTGATTTACTATTGTGTAATATTTTTTAATTTATAATTTTGTATTCCAAAAAACTTTCACACCAGTAATAATGAGTTTTGAAATGTTAAAAATATGTTGTTTATATTATGTGGTTTCGTTACTTTAAAATGCTAATCAAAAAAAAAAAAAAAAAAATCATACAGAAAATTCCTTAAACTAGAAGTATTCTTCATTTATGCAAGTAATGTGTTGAGTTTCTGTATGACGATACTGAAAGTTGGCATGTTTTCTAAAACAATAATTCTGTAAGATTCTTTGAATAACATCCCTTTTTTAAAATATATATATATATTATATATATATATAGTTACGTAGAAAAAAAATTCTTTTAACTTTAAAAAACTGACTTCTTTTTGGTGCCGTGACAGAAAAAAGAAAAAGAAAAAAGAAAAAAAGAATCAAATTTAAAACTTTGTACTTACATAATCAAAACTTTTAAAATCTAAGAGACATCAAAGAAAGATATGCTCCCTGGTGTTTTGGTAGAATCACGATTATTTGACAGAAACAAAATTCGAAAATGCACTTCCACAACAAAATCTTTAACATGCTATCTCTCACTAAATTAAAACTAATTTATATCTCCAACCTGAAATCACATAAATTTCAATACAAAAGCTAGAGATAGCCTTAAACCTTTAACATTTCAAATACCACACAGATCTCTTCAAAACACCAGGGAAAGATACAATCTCACAATTAAGAAGTCTACTCAACAAAATCAGAACAAATTCAGTAAACAGATCGAATAGTCACCAACACTTAAAACCGATTTTTTTTTTCCCTACTACTGCAATATGAGTACCCAGGTTCGGTTAAATAACCATGTTTTCGTAAGGATCACATGGGTGACCTACTATAGACCACAATTACTACGCAAAAGAAACATACAATAATAAAGATAATAAACACATTTATTGAAAATCCCCACACATTATAATTTAACGTAGCTGGCCAGACTACCCCTACAAAAATCTTTTAAAAGTTACTCATAGTTTTTTTTTCATATCAATCTCATGTTAAACATTAATCCATTAATACAAAAATCATAGTGAACACATCACAGTTCTTGATCATTTTAAACAGGAACTCAAGAAGATTAAACTCATTTAAAAAACTAATTTAGAATAAATCGTATTGAACATAAACATAAACAATAAAACAAAGTTTCACTTCCTCCAAATTGGTTCAATTAACTTCTGACTATTAAATATTAATAAAAAAAATACCTTCTCAGCTAGAAATATAGTAAAAATATTAAATTTTTATCTACTTAACATGACAGCTCTTGCTTTAGTATTAAACATTTCCAAATTTAAAAAGATTAATTATCAAAATAAAACACCAATGAAAATATAAAGTCACTCACGAAATCCGTGTACCACCTTTGAGAGACTCAGAGAGCTGCCCGGATCCAGTCACGAAACGTCGAAAGCATAACAGCCCAATCTTCATCGTTGTTTTCAGGAACCGGACCTTTTCATAGTTCCAGCACTAACCTCCGTCAAGCAGCATTATAACTAAATCAACTTCTCGATTTCGAAGTTCCACTGAAGATAAGAGAAGAAGGTCAAAACTGGAGACAACAGACCATGACAAACCTCAGGAGATGATGACTTTCCACAATTCCCAAAGCAAAATAGAACTCCAGCATGAGCAGTTCAGACTCTTACACAATTAGGAAAAATTATCAGCGACGAAATCGAAATTAATAGGCTGCAGGACAGGAATTGCCACCGTCAACATGACAAGCACCCGCACTCCTTTGGACACTCCGTAACCAGAATCTCAGAGATTAACAGCTTAACTGTAAACCGTGGTCAACCCCCCGAAGAACCGCAGTGTTTTTCCTCTGCTCCAACCCAGCACCTCACTGACCGCGGCCGACGTCAAAGAAACATGCCCGCTAAGGCTCCGAAAAAATCTGCTAAAAGTCTTCTCTAAAAATCTCTTTTTCAGTCCAAAAAGCCCTCTCCTGCCTCATGTGCAATGGCTTAAGAAACTCGGTTTACACTCACCAAGAAACGCCTCAGAATTACTATTGGCTCAAACAACACTAAAAATTAAAAATTAAACCAATCTTAAGGAAACTCGGACTCCCTCTCGCCAACTAGAAAGAAAGGTAATAAATCGCCTCTGAAATTCTCAGAAATCCAGAATTTTCTACAAGTTGACAGACCCTTTCTTTCCCACGCAACAGAAGAATGTTTCCAGCCTATAACATTGTCAAAAAATATCGCTGCCCCTTAGAACTATTTGCCTCTGAACGAGCAAAACACGTGTTTTCAACCCTGCGAGAAGAGAAAATGCAGCTGGACAGTGACCTCTAACCTCCAAAGAAGCTGACTCGTGAGAAACGGAAATACAACAGCACCCTTTTAACTGTAACACATATTCTGCCAAACTTAAAGGAGCTTTGCCGTAAGGTTTAACAACATTAAATATTAAATACTAAACATTAATTTTTAAATAAGCACAATACAAATTCATTAAGCACAGTAAAATAATACGCAAAAATTATACACAACAAAAAATACAGAAGAATTTTCCATAACAATATTGATCACTACTATTCACAGTAATATGCATAGAAATTCTCGTCACTTAATCTATTAATATTAGAAATCTTTTCCAAAACTTATATTTTGTCAGTTAAGTACAATGCAAACATTTTGCTCTTCAATGCCAAAACATATTTTTATAACTAGAAATATATATTTACAGCCAGCAGTTTTAAAAATAAAGTCTGTGTTAAGACTTTTGGGGACAAAGTGTATTTTCTACTTTTCCTTATTTCATAGTTCGTATTTTCAATCTTATATTCTTCTGACGAAGTTAAATCATTTTAATGTTTGGAATTTATGTATCCATTGTCTGAAATACTACCCAAATCACTGATCTCACTTCCCACTCTCAGTTGCATGTTCAAAATTTATATACTCATCTTCTGAAATGCTGTCAAAATCACTGAAGGCACTTCCTACTTCATCAGCCCATTACAAAATAGTTTATTCAGTGTTTTTATTTTCGTAATATACTTGCTTTAATAGCCCCACCATATAGATATTCACTTAAACACACTCACAAATCTAGCTAACCAAAACCTGCTAGCTGGCCATGTCACGTGAAAACACTTTTTCTTAAATACAAAGAAAGCACAGGTCAAGTGCTGCAAATGAGTCGGGAAGGAGGTCACCAGTAGTGTAATAATTAGGTGGAGTATTAGCATTGAATGCTAGTTCAGTTTGGAGTTACAGGTAGATTTATAAATGCAGCAATCTTTCAGATGGCCCCACCAGTTGCCAAAAGGGTAAGACCACTGAATACTGGGAGTACAATATGGGCTTGATCCCAGTTGAACAGGCTATCTGCATGGTTGGTTTTTGTGGTTTTTCCAAAATTTATTTTAAATACAAGCCAATTGCTTTAGAAAGTCCTCCATAAAGGCATTACTCATCTTGGGCCGATAGCCGTTACATGCTTTGACATATTCAGATAACCTCACAAACATATTTTCTATTAGGGGTTAACATCAAACTATGTAAATATTTGCTGTGCATTATGCAGGTATTCATATTTAACGTATTACTAAGATTGAG